TTTTTTTTTTTTTTTATTGTACGCATCGTTCGTCTCTTCTCGATTGCGCAAAGAGTAGCAGCAGCAACAGTAATAGTACTAGTATATAATCGTGTATACAGTGTCGTAAATGCATACGGAATAAAAAAACAATCTTCTTGACCAATATTCCACGTTCCCCCGAAAAAAATCTTTCGCGTAATAATACGTATTTATAAATTTAAAATATAAATTGTTTCAATCAAATATATAAACGGGGATTAACATTTTCGATACAGTTTTTATTAACAAGTCTAATGAAAAATCTTTTAACTTATCAGCTTTCTCCACGATAAATTACTCCCTCGATTTAATTTATTCACCGATCCGTAATAACGGTAATGATGGAAAGAGTTGATCGAGATTACAAAAAAAAAAAAAGAAGAAGAAGAAAAAAATAAACGCACACACATTTGGTCAACGTACCTAATTGCGTACACGTGTATTATTTTATTTGTATCTACACGTATATTATACATATATGAAAAAAATCTAATATAAATAATTATATATTATGAATATATATATATATATATATAAAAATAGACAAAATGATGGTAACCATAAACAGAGAACTGTCAACGTATTTTCTATGGTATCTTCCATGATTTTCTTCCCCTTCTTTTTCTCTCTCTTTCTCTTTGTCTTATTCTACCTTTCTCATACTAACAATCCCTACTTCGATCTCACCTGCTTCCTTCTCTTTCTTTCTCCCGTTAACAGTACACACCTATACATACTAATCCACACACACCATTTAACATTAGCGATATCTGTAATATGAACTTCCTCGGTTTTCTTCTCCTCGCAGACTTCCTGTATGCCAAGGAGCTTGAACTTTTATAGTTAGCGTTAGACATTTCTTTTTTTTCTAAAATAATTTCTCACCTGTTAACGAAACAAAATAAATAAATAAATTAATTAATTAATTAATCGTTGCATCGCGATCCATTCGATCTATCAAAAATCATTGCAATATTCAACTTTGATCTTTCTCTCGTGTTAATTAAAATCAATATAAAAATGAAAACAACGCACGTACACGTGTTGATGAATAAGACAAAAACATTTCCTAGATTTTTAATTGATACTCTTACGCCCCCGATTAAAAACGATATTATTTATTTCAAATTTATTGAAATTAATATTTTGTTCACAAGCTCTTAAAACTAACCAAACAAAATATCTAATATTAATAATAATAATAATGTATAAAAAACGCGTGTTCATGTATCATTAATTGTAATTGCAACGTTGACTGTTATCTTTTCTAGATAGATTGAAAGATGCACGATTTTGGATCGAAAAGCGTACATTCGCTCGGTCATTCGTACGGGACGAGATGCACACAAGCACACACACACATAGATATAAGTATATAAGTACATATACATATAGAATCATAGCGATGTTTAGAAAGTCTGGCAAGGAGAGAACGTGAGACGAGGGTACGACGAGGTACCAGAACGTGTATCAAAAGGTGGCATGTCTCGGGTTGATATTTTGGTGGGGGCATCTGTAAGGTAGCGGTGCCAGCTCTTACTTACCTCTCACTATTCGTCGAATCGCCGAGCGATCGACATCAAGTATTTTACACATCACCTTTTCTCCATAATCATCTTTTTTGAATCGATACATACCTGTGTACATACACACATATCCGCGCTCACGCACCCACACAAACAAATACACGCATTACTCATACACATACATCTATTACTTTTTTTGCTTCACCACCCTTTTGCACACATACTTCGTTTATTTGTTTGTTTTTTTTTTTTTTTTTAATTTTTCCGTTGCTGTTTTAATTAACAAAGGTAGGAGACAAAATTAAGACAAAAGAAATACTGATAGCTAATTTTGACTGATAACAAAAATTCGAATTTTCTTTATATTACGTTTTAATAAATAATAAAAGGGTCAATAAACTCGGTCCAATAAGGAGAGGATGGAGAAGGACCAGCCGGATTCTTTGGCAACGGTTGCTGTCGTCTCGGAGAAGATGCCCCAGACGCACAGTCATTATGCACCCAGTGAAGTCTATTCTTCTACCGAACCACCACCAGTGAGTTATTCTTTTTATTCTTCCTTTATTTTTTTAATTTATCCTTCATTCTTTTTGTTTAAACAAATTATATTAAACGCGAGAATGGTAGGACTTTGATTTACCCATAGAGACAAATTATTATGTCTCAATCGTATTATTTTTGCATGTTGCATTTAAGCGTTAAATTCTCGCTAGCGGGAGCGTGATTTTTTTATTTTTCTGTCTACGTGTAATACAGGTTAAAAAATATCACCGAGTTTTCTTCCTTCCTTTCTTTTTTTTTTCCTTCTCTGACACGTTACTATCTTTCAATTATTATAATATATTATAACAAATGACATATGATTTCACGATAATATTTTTTACGAAAAAACAATTAAAATTCTATCTTCTCGTAGGGTTTCTTGTTAATATATCTTTCTTTTTTTTAATTTCCGATAAAAATTTGTATGAGTATTTATTATAAATTCAGGACCGTTATAAACATGTAATATTTTGTATATTTAATAATAAGAGAAATATAATGTTTCTTTTTCGTAAAACTTGTTAAGAAAAAAAAAGAAAATAATCGAAAATTAAAAACAATCAACGAGAATCATTGTTCGATCGGTTGTTGTATATTTATTTACTCGGCAAACAAACTTCACGGGAATCGCAACGCTTTTAACTTCCGCGAAAGTTCTTGCGCAGATAAAAACCTTGCGCAAGACGTTTACTTTGCTAAGAATTATTCGTACCTGTTCGTTTGATCGTCACAAGGAAATGTAATGGAAAAGAAAGTTATCGAATATCTTTTTTTTTGTTAGTTTTTATTTTCAATATTAATTTTAATTGTAATTTTCCCCCCCCCCCTTCCATTTCCATAAAAAATTGTAAACACGAATTTTATTATCCGTCATTTCGAATGCAACGATGCAATAAGCAAAAAAATAAACAAAAAGAAGTAGAAAATATTTGTATTCGAAAGATATTGAATATAATTTCGAACGATATTTTCCTAATAAAGTGTTTACGATCGTTTGACGATAGAATTAACGTATTCGTTGCTGTTATTAATTTTTGTAAAAATGGAAAAAATAATAAAAATGATCTGTCTCTATAATGTTCGAAACATAATGCATAAGAGTTTCTCTTTTGCATGAATGTGTCATTACGACCGGAAGCTTTTATTACCGGCAGAGAGGAGTTAACACAACAGAGGAGTGTAATACATACACGTACATTCACATAGAGATGTATTAGACTAGAAATTTCTACGGTAATGTCCAGATGTTCATATTTACATTCTCTGTTTTAAAACGTTTTAAAAGCCATGCATGGACTCTCGGACGAAGAAAGATGAGAGAAAATGGAGACAGATAAAAATATAAAAAATATAAAAATAAAAAAAAGAGAGAAAAAAATTATCTCTCTGAATATATCTGCTCTCCGTGAGGAAAAAACAAAATTATTCTTTCAGAGTCATTCCATGACAGGCAGAAAAACGAGTTAACTTTCAGTCATGTATATATATATATACATACACACACACGCATATTTTTTACAGAGTGTACAAAGTCTGGATAAAGTATAAAACAAAACTCGTTTCTCGAATTTCTTGATTATAATCATACATAATCTTTTTTGTTTTCCTATTTTTCTTATATTTCTTACACATTTATCGTATTATCAATTTAAAGCTTAAATATATCTTCAATTTTGTCATAATTTATCTAGTATATATATACGTATTCTTATTGTTAATTATGTGAAAATATACACTTGGGTTTTCTAGCGCCAATTAGATACGTATGTACCGGCATTAAAGTCTCCGGAGACATCAATGCGTGCAAATCGTAAGGCAATGATTAGTAACGCGATTGCAAGTCAAATAATATAGTTCTACTTGTTATCTTTTATTGTAGAAATATTTCATTAGTATATTCGTTTAAATATTGCTATTGATTGTAAATTAGTTTAATACACAGGAATAAAGTTTTCTTTCTTGAATAAATATTATAAAGTAATCGTAAGAGAAAAAAAAACTTATAAGAAATAGAATCAAAATTTCTTACCTGAGTTTTAACAATAATTAATATAATTCAAAAATTAATTGATCTATCACATAAATCTAAAAGAAAATTAATTAATTAATTGTTTGTGTATTATTTGTGAATGTTTTTTTTTTTTTTTAAATCATCCTACATAAGATAATTTGTAATATTTTGTTAGATATCTTTTTAAATTATTCTACATAGATCATTTCTAGATAAATTATATATTTCATATTTCGTGTTTATCTTTTTATTATTAAATATATTATAATTATATAGGATATCGAAAAAGAAACTGACTAATTCGAAATGAGAGAAGATAATCAATCACGCAATATATATAAATAAAGTATAATAATAAAATAAATTATAATGAGATTTGTATACTTGCCAAAAGTACTTCTCTTAACGTTTTTATCAGACAGATCGAGTAGCATAAAGGCTGCTGCTGCTGCTGCCGCACGAGATGGCCTACTATCTCTTTGAAACCTCTCACCTTAGAATCGTCCATCCGCATCGAGGTCACTATGAATTATACGAATAACTCGTACAGTCGTAGCAATAAATTTGTTAACTTATTTACTTTATTCTTATTTAACAAAAATATTAATGTGTTACGAGTTTAAATTACGATGACTAATAATAAATCGATAGACAAATAAAATGGGTACTCGAAAAATATACTCGTAGAATTCGAATGAGAAGACAAATAGTAAAAAAAAAAACCATATTTTAATTTATTTTTTCTTTTTGCACAAGAATAAAACGTAACCAAAAAAAAAATAAAAAAAAAAAACAAGAATAAACGGAATATATAATATTGGCCACGATTTGCTTAGTTTCACTTTTCGGCGATGAAATATTTGCAGGGAAGAGACTTTGAACGAAAAGGAGGGGAAATGTGGAGGTGTAGGTGGAGGAGGAGGAACAAGGGGGGGGAGGGGAAGAGGATACCAAAGGAGAGCGCAAAACGACAAAAGACCTCGACTCGGTTGGTTAGCCAGCGTGAAGTCTCGCACACTATCACACCTTTTCATTGTATATTCAGCAACATATTACACGCGTATTTTATGAGCAAACACAAACAGAAAATTTATCTTTCTTTATAAGTGTACATGTACATGTGTGTGTGTGTGTACGTATGTGCACTTATGTGCACGTATGCATGACTTCGCGCGCAAATCCTAATTAGAGGAAGAGGAAAATAAAAGAGAGAGAAATAGCGAGAAGCAATGATTATGTAAATTAATCGACTGTATGTATGTTATGGAAACGGAATCGACCATGGTTTATGAATAAATTAATTACGTATCCTTTAATAAAAAAAAAAAAAAAAAAAAGGAAAAAAATGAGTAAAACACAGTGGAATGATTTATAACAAATACTCCCACGATTCTCTAACGATGCGATCATCGTTCGAGATGATTGAAATCGATACGTCGTATCGTATTATCGATCTACGGTGATTTAAAATTTGTCGTTTTGTTATAATTTAAAGAGAAATATTTACAATCTAAAAATGGTAAATGGTAAATGAATTAATACGATGTGTAAAAAAAAAAAAATTAATAAGTTCTTCCTGTTGTGTTATTATTATTTTTGGTTTTCTTTTATTTCTTATTTTTTTTTTCTTTTTGTCTTGTTTTTCTTCTTCTCTTAATTATAGGCATACATGAGGCCACCGATGAAAAGTACGGCGGTTCAGATAGCAAGGATCGCTGCTATCACTTTGATCACTATTTCGATTATCCTTGGAAGCTTCATTCTTGCTTCATCTTGGATTCAAGCACGTATGTCTTGTACACCGGAAGCTATAGCTGCTATGCAAACTGATATGAAGTTTCAACAACAACAACTGCAACAGGGCGAATTGTTGAAACATCTACAACCGGAAGCTTTGGTTCAGGTAAAATTACAAAATTATTTTTAATAGTATATTATGGGTTTTTTTTTTATTGTTAACCGCTTTTTATCGTTTATCGTTTTCTGAATTGAAAATTGTAATACGATTACCGATTCGATTCGATTAAGTTAAAGACCGTTAGATCAAGTTCTTTTATTTGGGTATCTTTAGAAATCGCGCTTTCTTCGATTTCTATGCCTTTCTAAGAGTTCGACCAGTCTTTTATCATAAAAGAATCACGCCTAGGTAGAATCGAATCGAATTATCTTTTAAAAGGCTTCTATTTTTCTTTTTCTTTTTTGTAACGAACAATTCGCAATATATATTTTTTACGATGGAAAGTAAAAAACAGGAAAGGAAACGTCCAGACGGAACGGATGGATGAATGGAATGGCGTTAATCGAATTAACGTTCAACGACATAAATGAAACAACAAATTTACTTGTGGGTACTACTTTAATTAACGTACACACGATAAAATAAAGATTTATTTATTCGGCATTCGACTCTTCCAAAAGAAAGGATTAATATTTTATATAATAATTATATTTATTTAATATGTGTGTGTGTGTGGTTAATAATTTCCTTTTTTCGCGTATAAAATCATTTTCACATTAAAATTGTAATAGAAAAATTTCTTTTTTATATTAGAATTAGAATTAAAGAAGAATAAAATATTCTGTATATAATTTTGGATAAAGTTATAGATTGTGTAATATACAAAAAAACAAACAAAAATGAAATATTTAATAAAATTATTTCTTTTAAAGTCACAGTAAAATCAGTAATAAAATGTACCAAATAATTTGGTGTTAGGGTTACAGTATAAAACAAACGAAAGATATGGAATATAGATAATAAATAATTTATTCTATGTCAAAAAGAGACAATTTCTATAATATAACTTTCCAAACGAAACGACGGAAGGAAAGAAATCGTTTCTCACGACAATGAGCATGAAAGAAAGAAAGAAAGAAAGGATCGTGCTTGGTTGACTATGATCACGCCCTTCTTTTGTGGTATTTCATTTCACCGCAGTAAAGATAGTTAAAGATGCATTGAATACTATATCTATCTATAAATCAACCGGACAATATCTATCGCGTTTTTATCTGAACAATAAAAACTCATTGAAACGTCATTCACAGATTCAATGATCGTCTGTGAACAAAAATGTTCAACCTTTTTTTTTTCCTCGAATTAGCAATGCAAATTTAATACATTTCATTTATAATATATACTATATAAAGATGCAATATACATATGTATATATATTTTTATTTCTTTCAATTTTCTTCAAATTACAGACGACTAATTCGGTTTGTATTTTTTTATTTTTTTCTACAAACAAAAAATTTTCGAATGGGGAAGGAAAAAAAGTTGGAAAAGAAAGTGGTCATTGTATCGATTCACATTTGTTTTTTATTATTCCTTTTATTTGTCATATTGAATTTTGTATTTTTTGGTGTAATAATAAACGATGGTAGTACAATGCAGGTACGAGGATAGATTTAGAAAGTGTACATCGTTTATATATTTATATATATATATATATATATACACATACACACTCACGCATATATATTTATACGATCTAACGAGAAGAGTTACATTCTTGAATAAAAGAGCCAAACGGAATGCAATTCTCTTAGATCGTGTCGTACATTGGTAATCCTTTTACAAACACACACACATACACATCGCCATCGTAGAACAATCTCGAAACTCCGAAAGCGTACTTTAACTACACGTTTAACCAAGTTCGATATAGAGAACGATCTCTATGTGTATATATATATATATATATACATGTGTGTGTGTGTGTTTAGAAAGTACACTTCGTGTGTTCCCCAACCGAGAAGATCGCGAATCGACGAATTCTAGGAAAGATCGAGATATTTAATCGAGTTTAAAGATCGTTCAACTCAAAATCTTCCAATGATTTATCCGCTTTTTATTTTCTTTTTTTATATCGCAATAATAATATTATAAAAATCTAATTTATAAGTTGATCACAATTTTACGGTCTTTCTCTATCTCTTTAAATTAGATTTATTAATAGAAATTTTTTTTTTTCTATAATTAAAGTATAAA